AAGCACACGGGCTTTGCAGCTTGACGCTGTGCAATGTCACACACCAAATGGGCAAACGTTCCTCTCGCTCTCCTTGCTGTGTATGCACCCGCCGTCACGTGTGAATGCAGATGCACAGGTAGATCCTCACAACAGTTCTCTCAAGCTCTCTCAACAGATCCTCCTGGTCATGTTTGTGTCTTCATGCGTGCATTGACTTGTTCATGTATTTCTGTTCCGCGTGCCTGTATGTTTGCACCCCAAACCCAGCATAAACCCTCAGCCCAGGCCCTAACTAGAACCTTTGGTCCTTGTGATGCCTAAAACAACGAAGATCCCAAACCTGAAGCCCAAGGCCCTTACGGTGCCTTACAGTCGTCGTTGGGGTACCTCGCATTGAACCTGCAGGGCAAGCCTTGTACGAATCCTCCTTGTTGAGGTCGGAAGCCGCGGCATGGACTACGAGCACCTAGCGCCGGAGCAAGCCGAGCTTTGCCTCTGGGCCTGGCTCCTCAGGTACAGACAGGGAAATGAGAGACATATGGGAGTTCCAAGAATCACTATAGCCGATGGTCGTAGATGCGTAGGTAGATAGATGCACGAAGCCTCCCTGCATTCATTCCTTCCTTCCTTCGTTCCTTTATTCAATCACTCATTCATTGGTTTGTTTTTTCACTCATTCACTCATCCACTCATTCATTCATTCGTTCATTGCATGCATACGTACATACAGACAGAAAGACAGATCCGTTCATCATACATGCTCGCATTTTGATGGTAGTGCGAACCGTCATCATGCAGACGAGATTGGGCGGTTCTGCCCATGTATTGATGAAAGTTACCCTGCGCTTTTCATTGTCATTTTCTCTTAAGTCTCAAGCTTCCGCCTGTCCTGCGAGCGGGTGCATGGGTGCAGATGCAGGGCCAGAGAGATCCCAGCGCCTAGAGCCGAGAGACTGGAACTTGATCTGTCAACTCCTCCATAACTACAGACCCTGCAGACCCACACATACCCAGTCAAGCACCACAAGGCCTCCCTCAGCGCCTCGGGCCCATGACTCCATGAGGCTTTGGACCACACTGAGAAGATTCTGCGGTCACCCTCCACCTCCTCCTGGACATCGTGGGCACCCGAGCCTTCGGCATCCAGAGGAGAACAATTCCAACGAGAGGAGATTTAGAAAGAATATCATCCCTCGCTGTAAGGGTCCGGTGAGGGTTCCAGGTTTAGGGCTGGGGCCTAGCTCAAGGGCACAGAATCAGAAAGAATTAGCAAGAGCACCCCATAGACCATAGCGTTACTGTATCCCGAAATCCTACTCTAGCGATTCAATAGGGTTCAGTTGTTCTGTGTCAGTTACTACCACACACGCCGAGGACTCCACCCAGACCTAGCTGCCATGTACAAGCAGCTGGTGTGTAGACTTGTAGAAGGTGTGCACGCTTACAGCTGCATGTGGCTTCGTGTCCCCTTCCAAGCTCCGAGGCGATGGTTGGAAGTCTTGAAAGAAGCGCACGAGAAAGGCAGGGCATGTGAGCGGCTTCTGCGGTTTGGTCACAAACTTCTGCTCGGCCTCGAGGGTTTCTCCGGGCATCGCCAACCCGTTCCGTTACGTTCCGCACAGTCTGCGCCCATCTGATGCCGGCGAGGCTTCCACCCGCACATTCCGGAGTTTGGGTTTGGCGCCATCGCCTCGGTGATGCGGTCGCTGCATCAGTGTTGCCACATCTTAAGAAGCTCTCACTCGTGATCGTGTAGGAACATGGTTGACAAGCCACATTGTTTCCCCGAATCTTCTGGCGTCCAGTCCCGCTGGCTCAGCTGGGACAGCGAGCGTGACAGAAAATGAAGCTCATGAGGACATGAGGATCTTTCCAGCCATTGGTGCCACGGTACGAAGGCGTTGAAAAGCGCGGCAAGGAATTTTAACGTTGGTAACTACCGGAAATGGTATAGCCATCCTGTGTTCCAGGTTAGAAGAAGGTGTCGTTTGAGTATGTATGAGTATACGGTCATGACCTTCGGAAATGCACCTGTCAGAGCAAAGTCCATACGCCGCGCAGGCCCTTAGACCATATATGGTCCCATTAATCAGAAGTGAGAGCACTGGGCACAGTAAATCCTTCAACCCTGAACCCTTATAGAACCCTTAAGGGATCCCTCTCCTGTGGTAACTTACAAACAAATCCCTTACTTTCATAAGAGCCCAGTCTAGAGAGCCAAGAGCAGCTTGCCGCTTCGCGGCAAAACTTTGCCCCCGCGATGCCGACTCGACGAGCGGCGTCCTCGGGCTGCCAAAGCGTCGTCGCGGTGGCGCTGGGCGTTGCCTTCGTGGCCGTGCCCGGCCTGTGGCCTGTCAGAGCTTTGGGACACCTTTAGGGAGGTGAGGGATCCGTTTAAGGGAGTTTATGGCTTGGGTTTAAGTTTAAGGGAGATTGGGAATTGGGACGAGCAGGATCGAGGGTTTTCGTTCGTCTGCATGTCTGATGTGAGCATTGCTGGAGGTATTTTGAGTTTTACCTCACCGGCGGCTACAAAGAGAGCCCCGGCACTGGACCACTGGGCCGCGAGGTCATCCAGGCGGCCGTGAAGCAGGCCCCGCCCCCAGACTGTCTGCAATTATTGTTTTCAAACGTTATAGTAGATTATAGTATTATGAGTCATGAGTCTGATTAGGGCCGGTTTGCCGCTGCACACTTTTGTAAACTGCCTTCTATGGTACGAAAGCCCCGTCGGAATGTCTTGTTTTGGCGCCTTTTTTGTTGTGGCCCGCGCTGGGCTTTTTCCACGCTTTTGCTTTTTGTTCCAGCGAGTTCTTGTAGATTCTAGTTTGCCGCCAAGCAACATGCAGCAGCATTTCTTTGGCCATTGGGCCAATGTATCGAGAACACAACAGTAATAATCTACTACGACGGCATGTCAGAGCTGGTTTTGCTGCAAGGTTTGTGTTGTTCTTAATGCTGGTGGGTCAAAGATTGCAAGCATGGCGAGACTTCCTCCGCAGGGACAGCCTGCGGACCAGAGCTGTTGAAGCCATCACGGTAGGCACCAGGCCGCTGAACGCTCTCTTCCAACGTCGTACCGAACCACTGAACATTACATGACGGTTGGCATGGATGCTCTCTTCCAAAGTCGTACTGGCTCATGGACTGTATTCAAGCAGAAGGGGAGCAGCCCAGTCGAACGGGACTAGTCATTTTGAGGAATGGGAACAAACATGAACACACCATCTCGAAAAAACATTAAGGGGTTTGAGAGGCAAAAGATGAGCAAGCCAGTCAGGAGCAAACGGCTTGAACGAGACTGGATGATTGAGGGAGATGCACAGCAAGCAGCACACTGCCTACTCGTGTAGCCTGGATATTTGATTATGAGATATGTCGACACAGAGGAGAATCGTAAAGCGGAGCAGACCATTCCACAGGGATTAGGCAAATGGAGAACAAGAGCACACCGCTCCATCACAGAATTTGAAGGAGTATGGCAAATTCGAGAATTACAGAAACATGTCAGAAGCTATGCTGTCGGTGTGCTTATCAAAAGATGGTTCCAGTCTTTCGGAAGGTCTTCCTGTGGATAGCCTGACAGATGACAGCAACAGCGACCCACAAGGAAACATAGATATTCAACTTAGGACATTAAGGAACGCACAGAGCGCTACTTGAGCAATCCGAGCAGCAGGATTCTTGCGGCAACTAACTCGCAAAATAATGCTGGTACAGCAACCAGAAACAAGAAGAATCACAGAACAAGAGAAACAAGAAAGAAGAGCAAATGAACAAAGGAAAGGATGGGAGATGGCTCATCTCAGGTGGACCTGGCGACCTCACAGGCCTGGAGCGCAGTGCAAAGGACGAAGTGGGGGGGCCGTTTGAGAGCGGTTCGGAAGAGGTTTTTTTGGAGGTGTGTGGAGAGACTGCGGTTTTATAGGCTTTTATAGGGCTTTTATAGGGTTTTATAGGGTTTTATAGGCTTTTATAGGCTTTTATAGGGCTTTTATAGGGCTTTCATAGGATTTTATAGGGTTTTACAAGCTTTTATAGGCTTTTATAGGGTTTTAGAGGGTTTTAGGGTTTCGGTGTAGCGTTTAGTTGCTAGAGGGACGGGATATTGCAAAATTTACACATGCGTGCTGGTCGAGCGACATAGCAAGGGCTTGAAACGTAGCCCGTTTAAGTTGCAGGACGGAGCCCCTGGTTGAAATCCCTCCGGTCGTCATGCCAAGCCAGCTCAGCGTGGCACAGCCAATCAAGGCCCGCGGGAGATCTCACAGTCAGCTTGCAGCCTCCAGCGAGACTCTATAAGATAAAGGTGCAGCTACTCAGCGACGAGCTCGCGGTCAGGGTCAGGTCAGGTCAAGCCTCGTGTTGAGACACATGGGCATGAAAGGCCACTCGCGACACAACGAGAATCAGCGCAACCTTCCTTTCTTGCAAGCCAAAAGGCTCTCGCCCAAGCTGGGCCGCCTCCGCCAGCACCACCGCCAGCACTGCCGCCGGCGCCGCCCCCAGCGCCGCAGCCAGCGCCGCCACCAGCGCCGCCGCCAGCGCCGCCGCCGGTACTGAATCTGCCAGAGGTTCCGGATCCTTCTGCACAGGCGGGGCGGGGCCACGCTCTGCGACGACAGCAGACAAGCCAATGAAGTCTGAAGGCCACTGGCGCTTACGTGGAGCAGCTCTTCGCAAAGAACCGAGTCACTCGGATCCGCTCCCCCCAATGGCCCAATCCCCTGCCTTGATTATCCTATAGGTGAGCAAAGTGTGGCGCCCCTGAGCTACTGTAGGCAACAGAAACTGTGGCTGGTGGGCAGAGCAAGGAGGGGGCAGCATCACCCACAAAGCCACAAAGCCTGCTGCCCATGCTTTCTGCGAATACACAACTTTGGACATGTTCCCAGGCATAAAACGATGATCGACGCACTCGAAATTGCATGTTTTTTGTAGTGCTAGTCAGGCAGTACAGCCCCCTCGATAGGCGTTTTCGGTGCGCTTTGTGACTCGAAGCCCCTGTTTGTTCTAAAGGTCCTGCTGAGTCCTGCTGTGTTCGGACCTTGCAGGTCCTTGCAGGGTATGTTGTGTCAGAGTCTTGTGGGCGCGGTTTGATTTGTTCTACCTCCAGAGTGTAAAGCTTGTCCCAACATATCCCAACATCAAGCGAGTGTTGTTTTGCAGCAAAGCTAAAGATGTCATCAAGGCTTTGCTTGCCACAGCTGCCGTCTCTTTGATAACAATCCAATGCAGGAGTTCGAAATGCCCCTATTAGTAGTTCCAGAAACACAACTTACAGGACCCTTCTGCTACACGTCTTCTACCGTCGTATGTGGAACTCCCAAGCTAATCCGCCCTAATTTTATGCGATCTTCATGTTTGTGGAGTGCATCGTACTAGCCGAGGAGTGCGCTGACCAGGCGATGGAGATAGGCAACCTCCCGACCGTACAGGCCCGCTGGAGATAGCAATGCAATTGCTATATATTCATACATATATATATACACATATGTACATATATTTACATATAAATTTATATGTATATATGTGTATAAGACATATAACTGCGGGTGTATGTACATAATACTGTATAGCGGAGGAGCCAAGAGAACTTGACAGGCAGCTTCCGAGCTACACACGAGTGGCAAAGTGCCACTGAGGGAGGTTCAAGCTAAGTCAGCTACTTATTTTGGCGGCATGGCAACTTACTGCGGCTCCTTAGAGGCATCCTAAGCCTACGGGCTTGACCTGTATTTTGGTAGAGCTAGTACGTCGGAAGAAGGCTTGACCAGCCTGTTTCGTCAGTGACGCAGCCAAGAGCCCGTGGCCGCACAGCATGAACATCACTGGCATCCCGCTAGACGTACCGATCTTGGCAGCAAAGTTGTTCATTACATGAGCTTTTTTGCCCGACTTATGGAGTACACAGCTTGAGCTGTCGGCTATCATGTCAAATCCACGGCTAGTTTCTTCCAGAATTGGCCGCTCTGCTTCTGCTTTTGTGCTAGCATGTGAGCAAAATGAGTAGACACGTTGCTGGAAGTCTCCCTTGTTGTCAGCAGGCCTGTGACGAAGTGGTGTCTCGGCGAGGAGCTTCAGAAATCTCATCCCATGGTTCGTTTCGAGCCGAGTCAGTGATGCAACTAAGGTTGCGACGAAGCTTGAGTGCGGCCGCTACTTCATGCTCCTCGGACTACCAAATCCCCGATTCTCATCGTGTCACCGCAGAAGCAAAGCTTTCCGAACATTTACGGCTTCGTGGAAGCCCAGGTTTAGCCACGCACATCCAGACTGGATTTGCCGCTGCTGCTCAGTCCACGGTGAGGAGCGGACAGCCGGGCTTGGTTTCGCCGTGAAGATACTTGATCTTGCGGGTCTCGTCTCCAAAGTTTGGGTTGGGGTGCTTGGCGGAGGAATTCCGCAACAGCTGCTTTCCCTGGCAGGAGGAAGGTCCGGCCTCAGATCAGTGGAACGTTTCTCGGCACCGGACATCTGCAAGCAAAATGATCCTAGGGCTTAGAGCAGAGAACGAAGACGAGAGGCTTTGCCAGACACAGTTCCAGTGACACCCAGGAAAGGCAGAGCCACGGCCAAACGCAAGAGCAAGCCTTCTCGTGTTTCCTAAACCCTAGAAACCCAAAACCCTACAGCTTGTCATATTGCCTGGGGCCCTGCCTGAAACCTCATAACCCTTCCTATAGGGGAGCGCAAGCCGCCAGAAGCCCGATGTAAAACTGCCTACATAAAGCCGAAACAATCCCACCAACAAATTCAAGAACCCTAGAATCGCTATAGAAGCCCTCGGATTCGTAGATGAAGTCCTAACTCCGACCGAGGTCTTCAAGGCCCAGGTTCCGAGGGCTCCGGGTTTGCCCTTGGAGCCGCCCACGGCGCCCCCGGCGGATCCTTTCGCCGGGCTTCCCATCGCGTGCCTTGGGCAGCAGAAAGGAAGGAACCCACTAACGACAGCAAGGAAGTCTTCTTCAAGTTCGGGACACTTGGGAACCCCGAAAAGAGATGCGGTGCTACATGGCTGTGAGGATCCTCCTTGCAAGCGGGTGGGCAGTTCAGTCTACGGCCGCACGCGCAATCGCGTGAAACCGCCAAGGCCAGGGCCAAGGCCCCAGTGGCTGGCGCGGAAAGATGCACTGGCGCCTCGGCGGAGTTTCAGGCGGTCGCTGCGTCGTGGTTGAAAGCTCTGGAGAAGCAGATCTATGCAAGCCCAGGCCGAAGCCAAGCCCCGACTGTTGGACCCATATCTGCCGCGGACGCATCACTGCATCTTCGGAGGTCATCGATGCAAGACCAGAGGAGCACGGCGGCATCGTCATCCTCCAGGCCAGGCCCAGTGCAACCTCGCAGAATTGGCAACACAGACTCTGACCTGGGCAGGGAGAAGACGTGTTGTGATTCTCTAAGAGGGCCACGCTGCTTTCGTGTGCTGTTAACAACTCGGCTTTGACTTTGAAGGCTGTCCTGAGCGATTCGCATGCCACCTGGGGCAACAGCAAGGACTGCAACCGCTCTCAGTGCTGAGCCGCATGAGGCATGGAAAGAGCATGATTTTTGGCCGTCTAAAGCAGTAGTGTCAGCCCCCACAGTGTCTTGCGGCTCTTATGTCACTGAACCCAGCGGCAGTGTCAACACCCGTGAACACCCTGTAAGTAGTATGATTAAGGACCCTCGGCCGAAAGAAACCTCGCGTGCTCGGCCAGGATGCGCAACGTCTCGAAGACCGACCTGACTGGCTTCGAGCGATCTTGGCACCATGGCGCGCAAACAAACATTGGTCCTAGCGCTGTCGAAGCAGCCGAACCCCATTATTGGGAGTAGAAATGAACATCAAATCCTGGCCGGCGGCAATCATGCTCGCGTGCTGCTTCGGTTTGCATCGGGCTTCGGAGGTTTGGTTGCGATCTCGCCGAGGCCACAAATCGGGCCCACGCGAAGACGCACGGCCACGCTATGGTGCTTCGCGCGGCCTGGCCTGAGAAGGTCAGCCCACGATGAAGAACTCGGAAGCCTGTCGCCAAAGAGTGGGCACAAAAGCTTCAGACTTTCACACAAGCCTTACCGAAGCTTTGCGAAGCGCATTCAGCTGAAGCCAAGGCTCATCCGACCGAGCCGCAGCTCACAGAGTCTCGGCACACACTTCTTGGGCGATTCGCAAGCTAAGTTGGTTAAGTTGATCTGGTGTCAAGATCTCTGGAGCGACGGCGAGCTCGAACCGTAGTTGCTGGATGTTTTTAGGGCTGTAAGGTGATGATGCTGCATGGCCTGTTCATTCATGTTTTGCGGCGAGGATTGGATGATCAGCGACTGTGGCAAAAAGTCCCTGCGCGTGTGCGCAAAGGTCAATGAGCGAGAGAACCCCGGATGCGCTCAGATACCTTTACAATTCTCGAATCAGCTTTTCATTATTTACTCTTCCACCTTTTGCATCAGGGCACCTTCGAGCTCTGCCGAAAACCCTTCGGCCCCGTTCGTGGCAATTCGTGGGGAAGATTTGCAGAGCCCAACTCCCTTGAAGCCAGTTCACAGCTGAGGACGTACAACTGGGAGAAGCATCTGATGATGCAGGACTACCTTTTGAGTCCACAAGCTTTCACCCATGTGCCCCGGACCGGGGAAGGCTAAGACTAATATGCCCCTGAGCCGGGTGCTAATCGATGTGGACATCAAGGAGTTCCTACGTCCCAGTTCTCGCGGCAACCATCACAAAAGCGAGCAAAGCCACGGGCCTTCAGCGACCGTCTCGCCAGGTACTCATGCTGGACGCAGACGCTGCGCTGATCCAGCCGCAGCTTAACACCTTACACCGAATCGCCGACATCTTGGACGCTTTGAAAGCTCTACTTGTCGTCCTAGGGATCCTGTGCTTCTTGTCATTGCAGAGATGCTCTGGGCAGTAGGTTGTGAACATAGTTCCTGTGCCTTCCGTGCAGAGACAGGGTCGGACATTGGGCTGCATTTCTGTTGGGGTGCGTACTTGGTGCTCTGGAGCTGCAGGACCGGAAGGGCAAAGATCTCTTCCTGACCAACGAGGTGCCGGAAAAGCGTGGTTGCTTTTGAAGCTTTTTGAGCTTGGGCAGGGCTTGCAGGCCTTCTGAGTTCCGCAGGACTGGTTGGACCAGAATGGCGAGGCGCGCATCAACGGCGGGTTGATGCTGGCGAAAAACACGCAGTTTACGCACCTTTGCATGCAGTCGCCCAGACGCCAGTGCCACACTCCCTGCATGCAAAGCCGGACGCTCTGCGGATCTTTGCCCCTCCAAGGCAGAACTTGTTCCAAGACACCTTCGATGCCCACGTGGCCGGGTACAAGCTGCTGAAGAAGGTCGGTGATGCCTTCCCGTAGCGAAGCTTGAGGCAAAGATGGCCTATCGCCTCTCTCTGCAGGGACTGAAATCGCTTGAAGCAGATCCCAGTGCTTGTGGGGTTTCTCTGTTTTGCTTGAAGCATCTTGAAGCCAGTATTATGTGAATGGCTATGAATACGAATGCAATTCCAGAGGCCCGCATCGGCACGCCCGTGATCCGGTGCACCAGACGCTTGGTGAATCCACATTTTCCGGTGGATGTCATGTTAAAGGCGGTGGTGAGCAAGCTTGTCAAGAGGTCCTCCCTTTACATGAGACCTGCATACGTGGCTGCTGTTCAATACTGTACGATAAAAAAATCAAGCCACGACCCGCACTGACAGGTTGCAGGAGCATTGTTGCCATTGTAGTTACCTCTACTTTGCGCTTACATTCCCGTTTAATTTCGGTGAATCTTATGTGCATTTCACGCAGTGCCTGCAGCTATTTGCGCTGACTGGCTCGTGGTTGGGACGTTTGTTGAGTTCATCTCTCCAGAAAGCGCTTGGTCCTGTGAGGCAACGAGCAGATCTGTCTCAATGACCTGTACTATGGCGACACTCAGCATTTCACTTCAAAGGTGGCCAGCTGGGAACCTTGAAGTCATTTTCTTTGGAATGTCCGAGGGCTCAAGACTAGGAGGGGCCAGCATCCAGACACATGCATCCGCTATCTCCTCGCTTTGACTTCAAGCGCGGCGAGTGCGACTAAATCAACACCTGGGCAAGACTTCCAGCGCATACCCTGAACCCTGAAGCCAAAGCCCCTATATGGTCTTGAATCCAAGACTTCCCACGCCATGTTTGCAGGTCATCATGGCCAGTGGGAAGAAATACAACCGCGGAGCCGAGAGAGGCCGCGTCGAAGTTCCTCGTATGCCTGAAACACAAAGGGGCTGTGGCTGTAGTCGTCGTCGTCGTACACCCCAAAAGAACCGCCATGCCTGCAGAGTAGACGTTGAAGAATTGGTTTTCGCCATGACCACTCCACGGTCAATAGGCCACTGCAAGGCTGGCCAAGCAAGCATCATGCTCAAAGTGAGTCAGTCTGGCACAGAATCAATCTGTGCGCCATCCTGAGCATTGCTGACGATAGAAGGCCTACAGGGTTCAGAACCATGGATCCTGTGTATTTGTTGGTTTTTTGAAAGGACGATGACGAAGCAAGGTCTCTAGAGCTCCCACCGGGCTGGTTTCGCACAGGTGGCGAGGCCCACATCACCGACGAGACCACCGAGATCATGCAGCTGAGCGATCAAACAAGATGCTTGACAGAGTGGAACTCTGCTTGATGCGACGCCTCCTCACAAGACTCTGCGACGTGACCCGGGATAGTTCCGCGCATGCTGCCGACAAGTTGACGCTGAGCTCCTTGAGGCATTGGATGGGCGGCGCAAAGGCCACAGCCGGCCAGGCGCTTTGCCGAGGCGGCCCGTGAACATTTCAGCTAAGTAGTACTATATTGTACCGTAATGAAGCTCGTAACTTAAATGTTGCGTGAGTGGTTATGACTCCTGGACTCAGTCACCTGGATTAGGCCATACTTACTTAGGCTACTGATCCTTCAGACTCCAGTGTTGACATTGATTGCAAAATTTTCGGCTGTGACGGGGGGAGACGTTCTGTTCATTGGCGACGCTTGTGCTGCAGCATGCCCCGTCACATCTCCAGACCAGAGGATTTCAAGCCACTGGAGATGGGAAGCTGCCCTGGGTTCCGTTGAATTTCAGTTACCATCAGCCATAAGCGGGACCTATAGTAAGTAATCCGGCACCCTCTAAGTAATACGGCGATACGAACAAGAGCCCAGTTCCTTGCCGCGGCAGGACAGCGGGACTTGACCTTCGAAGGGCCAGACGGATACGGCTGCAAAATGGAGCGCCGATGCCACTGTAGACACTTCCTTATTGTCAGACCCCGTTCAACGCTCAAGGCCTTGCGCAGTATATCCAAGGGCCTACTGTCGGGACATGCACAAAGTGGTCCGATAATCTCTATAAGCTCTAAGCGAAGCGTCGGCTGGTCACAAGCAACGAAAATCAAAGACAAGACAGCGGCACCTTCCTCTACCCCGCACTCCAGACGTAGCTCTACCTGATCATAGTAAGTCTTGAACCAATGCACGGCCTGACCCTAAGTTTTGGAGCACCTCATTTGCCAAGGATGCGACATCTTATCGCTTGATCGAGGCCACGGCCGTTGTTGCTGTCCTGGCTATCATTGGCGGTCAGCTACTCACGAAAGCCCGAGAGCCAAGAGCAAGATTTAATCCGTTCAACTTGAGAATGCAGTAGACAGAGCTATGCATCACATTTCGACCAAGTGGGGGCCTAGCGAAACTGCACCGGCAGAAATGTTCCAAGGCTAACATGCATGCATCCCGGATATTGGCTTAGCATCTGGCCAGAGTGCACAGCGTCTGGAGCAGTACAAGTCCCACCCAACTGAGGCGAAGTTTTCCCGGCTCAAGGCACTCCAATCCAAGCGCGCACAGAAACATGGTGCACAAAGCAGCCAGAAACGGCCTGGTGCTCAAGTAGCACAAAGCCCATTGTCCACACAGGCCGTGGCAGATCCGTAGGAGCAGATGAAGCTGGCGAACAATAGCGCCATCAACCCGACTAAGCCAGTAAGCCGATGCAGAAGTGATTTGAAACATCAGGTCAGATGCATAAAAACGAAAAACACAAAAAAGAATAACGATAAGCAAATAGCGGCCATGTAGAATGGCTGCTTCGCTGAACTTTGTGTCGTACAGAGCAGTTGTTCCAAGCATACCATGTCTCTTATCTTTCCTCGCTTGTGGACTTCGATTCCAGCCATGCGAGAGGGAAAAAAGTAAGCCGCCAAGCCACAGCCGAAGTAATTGACACGTGCGACAAGCAGACCGTCGACCCTTGACAACAAAGCAAGACAAGCCTTGTTCTGGCTTGTGGACTCTGACAAGTTTGTATGCCCCAGACACATTAAGCGAGAAAGCACACAACTGCTACTCACTGCCTGAGTTGGACAGAAGATGCTGAACACCCTCAAGCGTGGGATTCTCAGACCCTCTCCAGAATCCAACCAGCAGCAGTAGCTCCTGACCCGGAGCAGTTGCCAACTAGCCTGTCTCTTTCGCGCAAGTCTATCGCCAGCCTGAAATTGCCGGTCAGCTGCCCGCTGCGGCCAACTTTTTGCCAAGGGCGGAGAGAGAGAGTGAGAGAGAGAGAGAGAGATCTGGATTCCACACTCATAGGAAAGGGATGCAAGGGTATGCCATGTGAGAGGGCTGCCAGTGCGATGTTATTTCAGTGTGGCTGCGTTGAGTGTTGTCGACAGCCATCAACATACATGCAGTGTCCTTGCCAGCGCACGCGCTCGGTGCAAGCCTGCTGTCGCAGTCGACTCGTCCACGAGCCTGGAATGCCGCGCTTGAGCGATCCAATAGCAGGTATACTATGAAAGGCTTTATATCTCCAGCCCAACCGCCTCTCCAGAAACCTGGTCTAAATCTGCAGGAGGTGATCAAGACCACGAAGGAATCCGGCGCCATCCGTCATGGTGCAGAGTGCTTCAACTTCTACTTTCCGCAGGCCGCCGGCTTCATGCTTCGCCTTCTCCAAACGGGGTGCGAAACGAAAGCTGAAGTCAAGCCGCGACTCTGTTCTAGGATCAGCCGCGAGCCCGTGTGCTTGTTGAAGGGGCACACAGTAAACTTCAGTAAGCAGTGGTGTTTCCTTGTAAGCAGCACCGGAACAACAGAAAACCCAACGACGAGTGAAGAGCCAACGGGAGGAGTTGGACACCAACTTCCTCGTTGCTCGAGCCTCAGTGCGGCGAGGCTCAGTTTGGAGGCACACCGCGGAGGGAGCGGTTCTCGGGTTGGAAGCCGCGGCATGGTGAGCACGTTCTGGGTCTTGCAACAGGAAAGAAGCTCCAAACAAGACGGCACCACTTTGCTTCATGGGCAATGGACATCCCAGCGTGTGATGTCGCAGAAGTCCTCCATGGCCGCCTCATTTCTCACAGACACAGACTGAGGTGTGGGAAGGCTTCCATGATATCGACGGCAAGTCATGGCCTTGGACAATGTTCGGACTGCAGGGCGAAGAGCAGCCATCGTCGGACTCGCGTCCTTAAACCTCTGTGCAGAGTTTTTGAAAGCCTGCGTTTGGACTCCGGCTCTTCAGAACTATTTGCTGCTCGCATATTCACACATGATCCGTGACATGCCGTATTCTCAAACGAACGTAGGGTCCAAATGGCTGAAGCCGTTTCCCATCCCGGCCGAGCTAAGGCCCTGGGCCTACATGGATGAGGAATCCGCCGACAGACGTGTCGGCATTGAATTCTGAAGCGGGTCAGATTAAGGCTTCGAAAGGTCCAAGCGCAACCACGCCAGTGGAGCCACGAATCTGAAGCCTTGCAGGACGAGCTCCGCGACTTCCTCACAGAGCGTGCCCGGAGCCCGACTTTTGCGAACTTTGGCCATGATGCAATCGCTTTGTAGAGGATGCCTCCCGAGTCTGTGGACCAAATTCCCAGCAGAAAGGATTTGATCCGAGGAAGATGAAGATCAGCTGTCGCGCAAGTCCGGCCTTCGCAGACAGGACATTCTCATGTCCACTTGGAGGTTCAGGGGTAGTTATAGGTGGGGATATAAGTCCCCTAACATGAGTTAGAAGCACTGTTGAGTCCGCCATACGAGCCGACGCTATAGTCCGCCATGCGCGCTGACGCAGTTTTGCCATATAGAAGTATAGTTACCCTGCTTATAAACTACCCCTGAACCTCCAAGTAGTGACTACTTCGCCAAGTATACGTAATCCTTCACCAGTTCAGCCAGGCATAGCCCCGAACAAAAACTAGCGGGCTTTCTTTGTGGGGCCTTGCACGGAACATTGACTGAGCTCTGATCTTCAGAAGTCCCAGGTCGAGGAGAACTACGCCCTGCCTCTGAATCCGATTTGGTCCGGGCCTGCGTTGCAGGAGGGAAGTGTGAGGCTGATCCGACAGCCCAAGACAATCCTACGTGGTCCTGGCCCGTGGCTTCTTACGAAAGATTGAGGTGTGTTCGGGACCTCGGCTGGTTCGACATACTGGAGCATCAAATTGAGTCCATAGCTCAGTTTGACAGTATGTTTTTTGGTTTTAGGTGCCCTAGCCCTGCGAAGCAAATCTGATGTGTCCACAGCTCGGCCCTCTGAGGAACCAGAGCTGCAAAGCAGCGCTGGAGGTCGCCGTCCCAGTCACCTTGCCTCACTTTGGGGTCTGTATCAGGGTCCCTTGTGGCGCCAGGGCGAACACTAGCTTTGCAATCATGGCTCAGAGCGTTTCTCTCTGCACTTCCTTCCGCCCATTTGTGCCAAGGCCTGGTACCCAGAGCAGCCGAGAGCTTAGACTTCAGCTGATGTCGAGGGCTCGAGCCTTTGGGAGGTTTCTGGCCTTGCGGGAATGATGTTCTTGCACCTCGTGCCCACAACAAGCACTCTTTACATCCGAATCTGCGGAAATGCGGACAGTCAGAAAGTTTACAACTCCCGCTTGACCACGTCTTCGTCGGCTGCGCGTTTTTGTTAGTCGCCTGCTCAGGTCCGGCATTCTTGAGAAGATAAAGGCTCTTGCAGACATCAGCTTTTGGTTTGCGCATGCAACCTCTGCCACGAGAACTTGCACACATCATGCTCTGGCATGCAAATGTGCGGTGGATGCTGGGTATTGAAACGTCCAGTCCTTCGTTTTGACAGGATGCCAGATCTTATATCAGCCATGCTGACGGTCGCTGCATGGTCCGTCTAGACGCAATACATGGGAATGCCGCAATGCCAGAGTTATGGAGACAGGTCGTCCCCCACGCCAGGCACTGCACGAGGAGTTCACAGAGGGCCTCGAGCTGAAAGCAAGCGCGGACGTTCCTTCCCCAGGTATACATGCAGACTCGTTGGGCATCAGCTGATAAATTTGAAGTTCGGTGAATGCGTTAGCTTGTTTGCTAAATGCCTTGGAACCGTGTTGTTTTCCTGCGTTATAGTCTTTAGCGCTGAGACGCCAAGTAGGCCTCGCAAGTCGCGACTCAGACTCTGCGACTCTGTGCTTTGCTCAGAACGCGCGGCCTCTGGTCCGGACTTTGTCGCATTGCCCTGACCTGGACATGTCGGAGAAGGCCAGCGGACGGAGGACGGAGGGACTGAGCCTTTTCGAAGCCATTGGTGGTTAGCTGGTAGGGCCCCCTTTCCAAACTCGCAGGCTATCATTGAATCATGAGTCTTGTGCTTGTGCCTGGGCGAGGCCATGCTGGCCATTTCACAGGCGTCCTCTGCGGGGAGTAGGCTGGGCCGCCCAAGCACTCCCCGAAGCCTCAAGTTGCCACAGAGCCAGTTTCTGAAGTTCGGATGCGAAGCAAAGAGGAACTCATGATGCAACGCAGCAGGCACGAGCCAATAGCTTCTTCAATTTTAAGGGTGCTTTCAGGGACATGTCGAAAAGGATCCTCGTCTTCGGCGCCACCGGCAAGCAGGGTGGTGCCGTCATCCGCGAGATCCTGTCTGCCTTCGGCAGTACGGCCACTGTCTATGCGGTGACCCGCGGCTCTTCCTCCCCAGCTGCTCAGAAGCTGGAGCAGCAAGGTGTCAAGCTCGTGATCGGCGATATGGAGGACTCGCGCCCGGACTCCCCTCTGAAGGCCGCGATTGCCGAGGCAAAGCCCACACACGTCTTTCTCATGTCGAACGAGAAGGCGGCCATGTTCTCGAAGGGCAGCGGCTGCAGTCAGGAGCTCGCGGCGGCAAACCGCATGCTTGACTTCCTGGAGGCGTGCGGAACTGTGGAGTACGTGGTTATGAGCTCGGTCGCTGGCTGCCACCAGGGGGCCCAATATTCGATGCCGAACTTCAAGGTGAAGGAAGACATCGAAGCCGCCCTGCAGAGCCGGTCGTCCCTGAAGTGGACGGTGCTTCGCCTGGTTACGCTCATGGACAACTTTGTGGACAAAGAGTATGGCGGAGCGACGAAGACAAGTGTCACGGGCTTGGCTAACAATTCCACGATGGAGATGTGGTACGTGAGCTGCAGGGACTTGGGAGTGGCAGTGGCGACATGTTTCGCCAAGCCCGACTTCGTCGGAAAGACCATCAACCTTGCGAGCCAAAAGCTCAGCGGTGAAGAGATCGCCTCGGTCTACGCCAAGGTGATTAAGACAGATGCCAAGGTGAAGTACACGCCAGTGATGGGACCCTGCCTCATGAGCATGGGGTTCTTGATGCCAGACTTCGTGGCGATGCACAGGTACTGGGAGAAGGTTGGCTATCCCATCGAAGAGAGCGACCAGGAAGCCTTCAAAGCTCTGGTGCCTGAGCCCTGGACAATCGAAGACTACTTCACGAGCCTTGGCGACAGAATCCCAATGTGAGGTGAAGCGTCTGCGAATGTCTGCCATGGACGACGTACTACGCCTACTACGCACTGCCCATGAGCCAGGGTGACAGAACCCCGCTCTTGCGGTAGACTGTGTTGGATGCACCCGGCACCCTTCAGTTTGAGAGTTTTGTACAGTGTGGATAATGGGCCACACCCTCGGGGCCAACCTTCCGGCTTGGAGGTGTTCCCTGTGTAGCCGAGCCAGCAGCCAGAAGTCATCGACGAAAACTGCTGCGCCGTGACCCGCAGCATCACAAGCTGCATGCAGCAGAACACGGCCTGCCTCATCATGCCAGTATCTGAAAAACTCTGACTTCAGTTAAGGAGGAGCAGGCCCTTCCCAGAATCCCAGAATAAACATGAAAGAACTCAGCACTTGCTGTCGTGCACGGATTTGTTGCGAACAAGGTGGACCACTGCCCGGCTTAAAGACGGAGCCCAAGAGGGACGATGAGTGTCGCAGCACTTTGAACTACAGTATTCAGTATTCAGCTTCAGCGCGCCGAGGTCAATGTCCTGCAGCAAATAAAACGGCCAAGTCGCCATCTCAGTCACGGAGCGGCCTTGTCCTTCGATGGTGGGCTACATGCATGCTTATGCTTAGAAATCATTGCTGGCTGCGCTGGAGCATGAAAGCCATTTCATAAAACCGGTGCAATGGAAAAAAGCAGGAGATTTCATGCCGAAGTTTGCGTTTCATGCTTTCAAGGCATGGCCGTTCATCATCTGCTTGGCAAGTGAGATTCTGGCGTTTCACTCGTTTTCCCCACTCTACAACCGAAAGGTAGGATTGCCAAGTTCGGCTTTTATCACAGCCGCGGAATTTATGGATTCGTTTATTACTGCTTGTGTCAGTCTGCCACCATCTTAATACACATATCTTGCTTCTTTCTTGGCAATCTATATTGACAACACTATTCCTGGTCATTTTGTGTTTTGTTGATGTTGCTACCGTTGTTGTTGTTGTTGTTGTTGTTGCTGCTGTTGCTGTTGCTGTGGTGGTTGCTGCTGCTGCTGCTGCTGCTGCTGCTGCTCTTGTTGTTGTTGTTGTTGTTGCTGCTGTTGTTGTTCTTGTCGTCGTCGTTGTTTCGTTTTTTCTTTTATTGTTGTTGTGGTGGTGGTTGTCGTCGTTGTCGTTATTGTTTCTGCTGCTGGTGCTGCTGGTGTTGTTGTTGCTGTTGGTGTTAGTGAAAAACTGTTAGTGTTGTGTTTGGTGTTGTTCCTGTTGGTGTTGGTGCAGTTATTGGTGACGATGCTGGCGTTGTTCTTGGTGCTGCTGTTTTTCGTGTTGGTGTTGACATTGTGGGCGTCGGTTGTTGTTTGATATTTGAAGTTTGAGGTTTGTTGATGGGTGTTTCTTGTCTGTCATTTGCCGTTTGTTGTTTGGGGGTTCGTGTTTTGGTTCGTGTTTGTTGTCTGTTGGTGTGACTGTCGTTGGTGTTCTTTGTTGCTGTTTGGTGTTGTTGTTGGTTGGCTGTTGTTGTTAAGGTCAGCTGAGTTTTCATTGTCTATGCTCGTTCTGCTTTCTTGATGCAATGCTTATTGTTATGGTCATGGTGATAGCGCCTACTACTACTACTACTACTACTACCACTACTACTACTACTACTACTACTACTACTACTACTACTACTACTACTACTACTACAACTACAACAACAACTACTACTACGACTACTACTACTACTACTACTATTTTCAATTGAACGCTGCGCGAGCGTGCTCTGCGCTTTGCGGGCGCCTTTGGTCTCGTGCACTCGTGAAACTGCTTCTAGCATGCATCGCTCAGGTCTCTCTAATCAGCTCGAACTTGACATACTACTGCAGCTGCTACTGCTACAAAAAGCTTCCTTCTCCGACACCTTGGTGTGAACAGACGCGTCCATCTGTGCACCTGTCTCAACAATTAGGCCGTACCTCAGACGAAGCCGCCACCTGGAGTATCCGTCTCGTGGCGTCCCACACGGATTACTCATGTTGAAGACAGAAGGCCGTAAGGGTCATGTGCGGATGACCGCTGGTACCTGAAGCAACTCCGGTGGCGTGAGACTTTGGGCAGCTTGGATGTGGGCAACTCGCTGAAGCGCAAAGTGCTGTTTTAAGCGAGGCTAGCACGCGGTTCACATTCTTCCGAAGAGATGTGCTAGGCGTCGGAAGAGTGCCGAATTCCCTGAGTCTGTGACATAAGGGATCATAGAGTCTGTGACATATTACCGCCCTCACTGGTCATGACCTTTTGGCCACTGCTGAGAGTAACCATGCCAGGACCACTGCTGCCACCAGTCCCAGTCGTCATCCTGAGATGAGCGTGCCTGTCTGGCCCACTGGGACGAGGAGGATGAGGAGGGGCCATCGCGCTGCCGCTTGCCCTCTGTGTCAGCCTCCTGCATCTGTGGGCGCTTGTTAGGGGCAGCAGCAGCCAGTTTGGCCATGCGCTTGTCCTCTTCGTTCCCCTTGTCATGCTGTATCCGCATCTTCATGATGGAGTAGGCATTTTTGTCGGGTTTGACCCGGAAAACACGAGCTGGGAGTCCGGCTGATTTGGCCGTCTCATTGTAGACTGCCACTATGGTGGTGGCGATCATATTGAACTCGACCCACGAGGGGAAGTGCTGCCGAAAGGCCTTTTCGTCCCACATCTTGTTGAAGCAGGCATGGATAAGGCCATGCACCTTTGTTGGTGCGTCCAGCTCACGGTAGGCGTCACCCGCGCCTGTGGCTATGGTGACCTTCCCATCGCTTGTGAGGACCCGCCTCACCGACATGGCGGTGTCCCATGTGAGGCCGGTTTGCGTCCTTACGGACTTGATGGCAGAGAACAGCGGCGGAACTTCTCGGAGTGCTTCCATCCTGGTAGACCAAAGGGTCTGTTGTTCCTGGTTGGTGAGGCCGCCAAGAATAACCGGAGCCACCAGGATGTTGATGGAAGCCAAGGCCCGGATCCAGTCCTGATGGGACTGGGAGCTCAGCAGCTGAGCCAGCTCCTGCCGCGTGTAACGTACTGTCAGCCGACGAGTTCCGCATTGGATTACGGAGGCTCATATGCTGACGGGGGACGGGAAGAGGGAGGAGGGGGCGTGTGGGAGCGCGGAGCGGCCTGGGTGGCGGGGGTTGGGGGAGAGACGGACTTGGGGGGGTGCGGAAGGATCGGGGGAACTGGAATCGCCGGAGGGGGAGCTGGTGCTGCCGAGGATGAAGAGGGCGGGGGGCATTGGGTGGCCACCATGGGCGGTGGGGCCTTAACCGGAAGCGCCGGGGCCGCCTTCGGTGTCTCTGCTTGGCCTGCTTTGAAAGCCGCCTTTTCAGCTGCTGAGGAAGTGAAAGGGCACGGGGGGGAGGGTGGCGGCTCGAAGCCGGCTGCTTTGTCTATACCTTTGGTCCTGGTACTGCTGGGGGGAAGAGGAATTTCCTGTGGGAGCTTGGGGGGAGGAGGAGGGGGAGGAGTGTGGGGGTCCGGCGTGGCACTGAGTGCCGGGTTGTGCTTCTGAGTGACAAAGTGGTTTTTAAGGCCGTGGCTAGTGCTGAATTGCACCTGCCTGTTGTGCTTCCGGCAGTGCAAGCAGCATAACCACATGTCCCCCGAAACTTTCACTTGCCCTAATCCTCGAGGGATAAGCTCCAGCACATCCTGCTCTGTAAGGTCTTGGTTGTAGTGGTGGGTTTCACGGACCGTAGCCATGATCTCTGCAAAGGAGTTGTGCTGGATGCTGTCGGCCACATAGGCTTCAATATCCTCCTGAGTGGGAGGAGGGGGAGCCGATGAGGCGGTTGCCATGGTCTGTGACCTAGGTGGCTGTGGTGAGCTGTGCTCTTCAGGTCTGTCAGACTGGATTTCAAGGGAGATGTCAGGGAGTTGGCTCTGCAGCATGCGGTCTGTGCGTTCTTTGGTGGTTGGGTCTCCCTGAAATCCCTTCAGCCACTTCCAGCACCGGGTATATGCAACGGTCGTGTTGTTGGTAGTCACGAAGTAGTGGCCATCATTGTCGTACTTCTTGTTCTTCACTCGCTTGTCCCAGCGCTCCGAGAACAGGTAGATGGGGCCAAATTTGGTGGAAACATTCCATCCCGGCTGAGGGGAGTGACCAAGGTCACGACCCAAGATCTGCCAAAGATATTTGCAGAAGGTCATGTATTCCAAGTTTGCCTTCGCTGTCATAACCTGACGGCTGAAGGCGTGCTGTATGGCTTCCCTCATCAAGGGGTGTCTGGGCTTGCCATAGATGATGCCTTGAAAAATATGATCTCCTTTGACTCCTATGGCCATGACCATGAACTCCTGTGGGAGATGGCCAGGTGGGGAGGGTCTGTGACCCACTTCACCTGCCTTCTTTGAGTGAGCTGTGCTCCAATCTGCTGCGAGATACGCGAGTACCTGTTCCCAAGGTACCACGAAGCCACATTTGATGTCGACGTAGAGGCCGCCGTGCTGGTAGTGGTAGACGTAGCGGAACACGTCTGCTCGATGAGCAGGTTGGCTGAGGCGATCTAGCAGATTGGAGCCGTACTTTCCTGCGAGTTGCCGCAGGGTAGCCCGAAGAACATCATCATCACAGAATCTGCGGGTGAAGCCAGCAAACATTTTGGCCGCGACTTGGGCCGGTTCCGGCTTTTCGTCGTGAACGTAGGTCTGGAAGAGGAGGGCTGGGGCAGGGGCGGCTTCCCATTCTGGGAGATGTGTGAAGCGCATTCCCCAGGGGCCATGTCCGTATTGCATGGCTACCTCCGAAAGATCACGGACAGTTCGGCATTGTGACAGAGCCTGGGCAGCGAGCATTTCGACATGCATGTCCTGCTCGCGAGCGTTCCAACCAGCTACCACGAGGACAGGCAGTCCTGGGGTGTTGCGCATTTCCTCGATGGCTCTGGTTACAAGCGCCGGGATGACAATGTCCGCGACATCGGGGCGGAAATGGAGATTCTTGGAGTTGTAGAGCCATTCTACCCCTCCTACACCAGGCATTTGGGCCAGGTCCATGATTTCCTGGTTGTGCA